GTATATTGAATAAATAAGGTTTTGAGATTTGGTCTTTTTACGCTACTTTTTTTTACGCTACATTTTCCATTGAGCATAAACACAGGTCTTATGCACCAAAACATAAACTGGACTGGCGTGGCTAAAAAACTTGCTATTTCACCCATCGTGCGAAGTACAGTCTTTTTGCGACCAAATGTAGCTGTAATTTAGACTTCTTCAAGTGTGTATCCTTTTTCTTGTTGTTTGTACACAGTCATTGCAGTTGGTTTTATGTCCTGGACCTGGAGTTGTATGTTCTGTTGTTGAAATAAAAAAAATAAAACAATAGAAATAAACCCAAAACTATTTAGTCAGTAATAAAACCAAACTATTTCATAGGCTGTTGCTCAAAAATGGGTCAGGTGAAGGTTATACAACTACACACAAGACACACCAGGGACTATTCTTTGCTGAATAACTGCGTAACAAGCCGTGTAACTTGTAAGAGTGAAGCTTTAACCGTACATTTTTTGCCCGTTGCTTGTGCTGCTCTTTCCTTTATAAAGTTGCCCTGGGGAAATTTTTTTTTTACAAATATTTACAACTTCCTGTAGTCCCTGGAGTCCTTGGTTCTCTGCGCTGTGACTCCAATTCTATTCAAGCTATTTTTGTATATCCCCAAATCGCAACAGCAGTTACCTCTGAGCACTTCACAAAATTGTCAATTTGCCAACAACAGATTAGAGACTTGAACAATCATAACACAGGAAATTATAAATGACCAATATCCATAAATGTCCTTAAAAATCATGGATCATCACTGTAATTAGACCCTGCGGCAAATTTTTGAGATGTACGCATCTTCCTTGTGGAAAAAGTTGACACGGATCCAAACAACCCGCCACCCTTTCCCACTCTTTTCTGTGTCTGCAGTATGAGGATGGCTTCAGTCATCCATTCAATCCTGGTTAAACCTACCATTTTATTAGTTTTGTTTCTTGTGCATTCATATTGTGTAGTTAAATCAATTAAAAAGGTGCACCTTGTTGCTGCCAAAGGATTATTTGGTAGAAATGACCTATTGTTCTGGAGCGTAATGTGTTCTGACAGCTCCCCTGAAGCCTGCGCGGGATCATTGTACTACACCACTAATGGTTTGCTTAATTAGAGTTCCTTTGGACAACTTTATGAATTGCTTGGTATAAATTTTAATAAATCCACTTCCTCATTATTGGGGAGAAAACAGCAGGTTTGACATAATTTGTTATTAAATATGAGCTTGTTATTTACATTGAATAAAACATGCTTTGAAACTCATGGTGTGATATAAAGCATTTGACCTTGATGTGAAAAAATGTTTATATACTGAATAAGTGATAAATGATTCATATGTTGCACTTATATTTGGCTTTGAAAGCGTCTTCAGGCAAACTTGCCTTGGGTCATGTATCAAGAGAGCATTAATGCCCTCACTGACCATCAGTCACTGGCAGTTTTTAATAAGCTGTGAAATCTCTCCCATGGACACGTACAGTATTTAAAATAGATCCTAACTTTCCTGTTGAGACCGAGCTCCACATCTGCGTGAGAAGATGCAAGGCCCCATTGACTTTATTGAACTTTAATTTAAATTTCAACCATGTTTCCTCTAGTAATAAATCAAAACAGTATATTATAAAACATACGTACACTGTATATCGAGGGTTGTGCTCATGCCTCACTGCAAGGAGGTTTTTTTAGGTTTATTTTTCAACACATTATTATGTACTCATGATAAAACGCTCATTCCTAGCCAATAGCACAATCAGGCATCAGCTTTCTCAACAACAGGCCACGTGCACGTGTTATATCTGTATGATATGTATCAAATGTCTTGTTTATATTGTATGCGTTATTTCCACTAAGAAAAAAAACACCTTGAACCTTATCCTTTCGGTCATTCCTCAAACCCCATTGACAGCTGGATAGAAACATCATTTATTTATCCCACAAGGAGAATTTCAGGTAACCATCGGTGGTTTATACATATAAAACAGGATACAGACAGAAACAAAACAAAGGTTTAATTTCTCTTAACAGTGTTAAGAGAAATATTATAGGGTCCTTTTCCGGGTCTGCGTTTGCCTCTACTCTTTTTCCGAGGAAGCATCAGGCTAAAGCATGTGGCAAAAGGTATAAAACTTCTTTTTGTAACTCGCTTTGCTCTTCATCCATTGATACTCTGTTCATAGACAACTCTGTTCATCATCGTCCATTTTGAATGAGCCGGTACCCGCTGTGACGTCACACTTCTGGGTGTGAGGATGAGACAACGCAAATGTATAAAAAAAAAAAATTCAATTCAATAAATGATCATTTTTGCCCAAATCTATTTCAGATTGCCATAAATTGATTATCTGTCTTGCAATTTTGATATCCACTTATTTTTGGACAAACCCTGCATAAGGTCTTTAAAGCCTTTCCCCGTCTGAAGGTTTGAACCATTTTCTCTGCTCTAGTTCAGAGTGAAACCCAAGCGTAATTATCCAAACTAGCCTCCCTCCGGTGGATATAAGATAACAAATGATCGTCCTTTCTTTGTCCCACAGTGGGGAAATTTCAGATATACGTGTGACCGTGACCAGAGATGAGAGAGAGAACACAGACAGAGCACTAAATGTAGAGGTTTGCCTTTCGACTCGCTCTTTACATGAACCAACACAGCTCTCTATACTGTACTTGCTTTCTCTCTGGCGCACATTGCTCCCCTCCACTCTCAGTACTTTCTCAGCCCTTTAACTCACTGGGGTCACCAACCTCAAGCACATCACTTGTCTCTTGTTCCTGCACTTATTCCTTTGTTTAAATCAGTGACAGTTTCCATTTTAAGATGGTGTGCAGTTCTCTGACCTACACTGTTAACCTCCTGCTTTGATACTATTTGCAGCAGCACTTCAAAACTAACCCTCGCCCTCAACTTATTTTTTTATGGAAGAATAACATACACTCACCCACTTCGGGAGAATAAATGTGCGTCGTTAAAATGGAAGAGGTTGATAAAAATAAATGGTTCATGCTTATGTTCAATTACTAAAAGCCTATCATACTGACGATTAAAAACATCTCTCTCTTCTATATGAAACTGGTTTGATGAAGAACATGCAACATATATTTATATAAACCTCTCACTTTGTTTTATTTTGCCTGTTATTTTTCCAACAATTATTAAAGAGGACATATACTCGGTAGTCTAGTTGTAAAAATAAATCAGATCATGTGTCAAATGAGGCCAGTTAGCTTCCTTAAACAGCTAAACAGTGGACTAGGGGCACTTTCTACATTTTAAGTAACACACTGCTGTATTTTTTCGGATTCTGGAGTCTAAATTGCACCAGCCGAAAATGCATAAAAAAAGAAGGAAAAAACATAAGTCACACTAGAGTATAAGTTGCATTTTTTGGGGAATTTTTAAAAATAAAATCCAACACCAAGAATAGACATTTTATCTAGAAATGCAATTTAAAAGTCACACCCCCGGCCAAACAATGACAAACATTGCCGAAATCCGAAAAATACAGTATATTTAGATTCACACCCAGTGAGCAAGTACTTTTGACCATAAATATATCAATATCATGATGCAATATATCTTCTAATGTAAGACTTTGACTGAAAAAAAAAAAGAATGAAAAAAGACTTTTAGCCTTGTGCCATAAAGCAGCAGTGTTTTGAAACAATATTTCTGAGGGATTTTAACCCGATGCCGATGACCGATAAATGGTGTTTGTCGTCGCTACCTGATTATGGGAATATGTCTGAAAACATCATGGACACATTTTTAAATCAATCTCATTGTCTATAGCATGTAAAGATAGCATATAGCATGAAAGAAATACTATATGTATTATTATTTTTAAACTTGTCCCTGTCGCCTATCAGCCGGATTGAAAAAAAACATCAGGTCAATCTATAATTACGGCTGCGGCTCTGAACCATATGGGGCAAGCCATTTCGTCTGCTGCATCTTTTGTAACCAATTTTTTTGTACAAGATAATTAAGATTACTTTCTACTACTATTACTGTAGTTAATCAAGTTTTCTTGTTTGAAAATCCAAATATTGCGATGTATAGAACATTCTTCACTTGTTTTTGCAACACTGCAGAATCATCTGCAAATCTTAAAGTAGCAGTATGTAATATTTGCATGTCAGGTAAAATAACATGTGGCCGCAGAACAAAAAAAGGTCTTGTTATGACTCTCAAATCATTAATGACAAAACAAAGACTAAAACGAGTAATCAGGACGCCTTTGAAAAATTGAGACGGTGGATACAAGTTTTTACTTGGTGGATTCAGACCGTTTCCCTCCGCAGTACCTACAGTGTAGCATCTTCTTGATTGTAACTGAATAATATTGCATTTTATGACAGATTGCTCAAAATCAGGTAAAAGTCAATAATCAAGACTTTTTTCAGATTATAGCTTATTTGTAAAAATAATCATTTAAGACCACATGTACCCCAATTACAATAATGTTAGTCTCTTTTTGATGTGGGACTTATACATGTTTGTCTAAAAAATAGGGAATAAATCAAATTGAAAGGTGATATCCTCTGGAGCAAACCCTGATGTTGATACGCTGAAGAAATATGTTCCAACATTCATTCTTCCCACTCCTATTTTGGACATAAATTGCTTATTTATTTTGCATAATCTATGTATAATTAAATTTCTTTTATTTTTCTCATCTCAAATGTCCAAATAGAAAAAAAAAAAAGATTAATTCAAAACATTCAATCAACATTAGCACGGCTCATGGCAATGTGAGAGACGGACAAACAACTGATAAAATAATTCCCTGTGTTTGCTGCTGGATTTGGTGTGTATCTGGCAACCTGAGTCAGGGAGAGTGGGAGAGGACTACAAAATATTGACTGTGACTACAGTACCACTTTTGGCCAAATTTTTACATACTGCTCCATTAAATATCAATATCACAGATTCAGAAAATACAAATGCTGTCACGAGTGGCCAGAGACTCCATGGGAACGAGAAGTAACTACACCCACATCTGTCCGAACGCACCTCTCTGGACACACACATGGTGACGTGTGAGCCGCTCTCTGGACACACACATGGTGACGTGTGAGCCGCTCTCTGGACACACACATGGTGACGTGTGAGCCGCTCTCTGGACACACACATGGTGACGTGTGAGCCGCTCTCTGGACACACACATGGTGACGTGTGAGCCGCTCTCTGGACACACACATGGTGACGTGTGAGCCGCTCTCTGGACACACACATGGTGACGTGTGAGCCGCTCTCTGGACACACACATGGTGACGTGTGAGCCGCTCTCTGGACACACACATGGTGACGTGTGAGCCGCTCTCTGGACACACACATGATGACGTGTGAGCCGCTCTCTGGACACACACATGGTGACGTGTGAGCCGCTCTCTGGACACACACATGGTGACGTGTGAGCCGCTCTCTGGACACACACATGGTGACGTGTGAGCCGCTCTCTGGACACACACATGGTGACGTGTGAGCCGCTCTCTGGACACACACATGGTGACGTGTGAGCCGCTCTCTGGACACACACATGGTGACGTGTGAGCCGCTCTCTGGACACACACATGGTGACGTGTGAGCCGCTCTCTGGACACACACATGGTGACGTGTGAGCTAGAGCCCTGCACGGGCCTATTATCTGGGCCCGAGCCCGGCCCTGGCCCGAGGGGGTGGCGCCCCAGCCCGGCCCGGCCCGATATGGTTTCTGAATTTTCAAGCCCGAAACCCGCATCAAGCCCGCCTTTTTTTTTTTTTTGTAACCTCCCATAACAATGTTTTAGCATAGTATATAGTGCCGCGCACTGATATGAACGCAGACTTAGCTAGAGGGCGGAGTTATACATGGTAGTGATGTGTTGCAATGAGTTCTGTGTGTGCGGAGTGGTGCAGAGTGAACGGCCGCATCTGTATGATGCCCCCGATGCGGCAACACATCTGCACATTACATAAGTAACGCTATGTGCCGTCAATGACAACACTACACAGAACAACAAACACTACAGCGTGATAGAACGCTATATTCAGTGGGTGCGCTCGTAAATCTATTCTGCCGCTCTGAAAATGAAGAGCCCGAGCCCGGCCCGTGTCCGAGGTCATTATGCGGTCATCGGCCCGAAGCCCGGCCCTCGGGCTGTCGGGCCCAAGTGCAGGGCTCTAGTGTGAGCCGCTCTCTGGACACACACATGGTGACGTGTGAGCCGCTCTCTGGACACACACATGGTGACGTGTGAGCCGCTCTCTGGACACACACATGGTGACGTGTGAGCCGCTCTCTGGACACACACATGGTGACGTGTGAGCCGCTCTCTGGACACACACATGGTGACGTGTGAGCCGCTCTCTGGACACACACATGGTGACGTGTGAGCCGCTCTCTGGACACACACATGGTGACGTGTGAGCCGCTCTCTGGACACACACATGGTGACGTGTGAGCCGCTCTCTGGACACACACATGGTGACGTGTGAGCCGCTCTCTGGACACACACATGGTGACGTGTGAGCCGCTCTCTGGACACACACATGGTGACGTGTGAGCCGCTCTCTGGACACACACATGGTGACGTGTGAGTCGCTCTCTGGACACACACATGGTGACGTGTGAGCCGCTCTCTGGACACACACATGGTGACGTGTGAGCCGCTCTCTGGACACACACATGGTGACGTGTGAGCCGCTCTCTGGACACACACATGGTGACGTGTGAGCCGCTCTCTGGACACACACATGGTGACGTGTGAGCCGCTCTCTGGACACACACATGGTGACGTGTGAGCCGCTCTCTGGACACACACATGGTGACGTGTGAGTCGCTCTCTGGACACACACATGGTGACGTGTGAGCCGCTTGCGTCATACCATCGAGCTTAGAGCTGCTTCCTCACTTGTGTCATGGATGGTTGTATTCATAATATTTTTGTTCATCCCAAGGCCAAACACACCCATAAGTGCAGTGAGACTGAACACAGACAAAGACAACAGCCTTCGCATCCATTCAAAACGCTTTGATCCGGAAAGACTTTTGCTGATTTCATTACAACGCATCCAACGTTTTCATTCATTGTGTAAAAAAAAGGGTTATCTGCAGTGATCTCGTCTCTCTGACTTTGAATGCATCAGCTTGTTTGTCATTGGCCAGAGTCACAGAGTCAGGGCTTTGATATTTATTTTTGCTGGCGAGACGTTCTGGCTAAAATCGTTCTTTGCACACAGAATGTAGCTTGCATTTCTTGATCTTTCTAACCTTGACAACCCTAACCCAAGATGAATTAGTTTTTTTGAATGGAAAAAAGTCCCTGGAAACATTTGGTGACACATGTACCGGATGTACACTAACTCTTTTACTTTCAACGTCAATTCTCATATAATTCTCCAATAAAGATGGTCAAGTAGAATTATTCATGTGCTTTTCACTTTCCAACCTGGTTCCAATTGTTCCTGTGCAAAAGAATTTTACATTAATAAATAGGACAATTTGGAAATCTTCAACATATTGTGAAGTGGCAAGAAATGTCACCCCTTTTTCCAGGTAAAAGACTGTATATATTTTTTGGATGTTACAGTGCCTCATTTTAAAGCTCACCATCTGTAGAATACACTTATAGTCCACACAAAATCCACAAGAGTTGCTCCAATAAGACAAGAGAACCATTATTTGTCCCACAGTGGGGAAATCTCAATGTTGTAGCGCAGCCATTCCCAAAGTCAGTAACACCGTGGTCCCCTTAAAAATCTGACGGGTCTGCGCGGCCCCCCGAAATCATAACCAAGAAGACAACGTTAAAAATAAGCTCTTCTCTTCTCTTATTTTATTTGGGGGATATAGCCTCTGCTACAAATGTGTAAATGACAGTCCCCACTTTGTCATACACAAATTATGGTTCAAGTCAAATAATGAACACAAATATTGTAATATTACAAACAAAATATTGTCAATTTAACAAACAATTTTTATATGAAACCTTTTTTTTTTTCATTCAATACCCCCAACCAGGGGGCCGTGGACCCCACTTTGGGAGACACTGTTGTAGTGCATATACAGGACAGTAGTAAGATGTTAATGCTGTTTTAACCTACAGTCCTACCTGACAAAATCACATACACAAAAGACATGGTTTGGCAATTTTGATATTTGTTGCCTTTTCCAAGGGGAAGTGATCAGAGACAGAGTAGAGAGTGCTCTGTCTTTGCCTCCAAATCCAGATCTGACCCAGACAAGACTGCAAACTTCTTTTGATAGTACAAGACACACCTTCATATGCAGATAGGAAAGGACGAAGCAACACAACAAAGAACAATGACAAGACCTTCCTTATGAAGAAGATGGACAAAGTTTGGCATTGTGTCTTTAATTCAGACAGAACACATGTTTTATTGTCGTTGGTAGACCGGACGAACACGAACAAAGATTTTACAGACTGCAAGTGCAAATATACAGCGGAGGAATGAACACCTATCTCAAGGTTGATGCCAGAAGCTTCAACCTTGAGATAACCAAAACATGCTGTGGAGAAGTACTGCCTTCTGCATATGTTATAATGATGAGTTAGAACTTTAACCACAGTTGCTTCAAAGTGTCATGAAATACCTAAACTTATTAGCATGTTCAAAAGCCTGCTTCCTCTGGAAAATGTATTAACATACATCCCCTTTGGCCGGACTTCCTGACGCCAAGTGAATTACAATACAACCTTTCAGTATACAATATATACTGTATATATCAGCTTATTAAAATTATAACTTAAACAACATTCCAATGACATAAGGGCACACAAGATATACAACATAAGAAGCTGCTATGTTTCTTAGCTGGCTATAAATGCTTCAATATAATTAAATCTATCTACATATACGTAAAGTTAAATACATATAGGGCAGGATTAATTTCAGTATTGCACATTGCACATGATTACAGTATTCACTATTTACAGATGAAAGACATGTACAGGCTCAGCAGTTTTCATTGTACAGTCTGACAGCAGCAGGAAGGAAAGACCTATGGAACCTCTCCTTCACACAGCAAGGGTGAATACGTCTGTCACTGAAGCTGCTCTCCAGGGCAGACAGAGTGTCCTGCAGGGGGTGACTGTCTTATCTAAATAAAGTTGTAAAAATATATAAACAAAAAAGTGAATATTCTCAAGATCATGAATGAACATAAAAATGTCATCATATTTGCAAGAAACCCCTCTTAAAACAGCACTTATAAACGCAACCACCTTTTCAAACTTTCGCAGCACTTTTCGTCCGGTGTATCGCTCAGAGGCGGCAGCTTTAAACAAAGGGACCAGTTTGGGAGCCGATTTTCAAAACTAAGCATTTCTCTTCTCCCAGATATTACAAAAACCACTTGAGACTTCCAAATAAAAAAGAGAAAAAAGGAGAAAATCAAAAAAAGCCCTTGCTGTAAGCGTTGCGAGCTGGCACCTGTAAGTAAAGTAGAATTGCTGAGCCGCGGTCATTTTCGCCGGTGTGATTGTGCCGACCTGCTGCACCTGTATTTCATCGCCGCGCTCGTAAATCAATGTCAAATTTTATTCCGGGGAACGCGGTGCTGTATTTATCCCTCCACCACCACGTCACAACCAAAACCTGGCTCTTGTTTCTCAATATCGCCGGCAAACATCTCTTGAATCTCCCATAATTTCCTCCTCCTTCATGGCTTTTCATTTGCCGCCCTGGCTCTACTACCTTCAGCGGTGACATTTACTCACTCTTTTCTTTTAATGACAAATTCATAAAATCAGTGGGATGATAGCGCGGTGAAGGAGGAGGCTTTATGGAAACTCATTACGGAGTATCTATCCCGGCCTGTCTATCGCCCACACCCCCGCAGCTACTCACATTAGTTCTTTGTCAAATAGAAAAACACAAGAGCCAAAGCGGTATAAAGTTTTGGTCTCTGTGGAGTGCTGCGATAAGGCTATCACGCCGCGGCTCCTTGGATTCGTTTTCAGATGGCTGAGGCTGTCTTATTGCCACATTAAGCAGAATAATATTGGGGAACAGCCAGACGAGACAGGATGTAAGTAGTGCTCAAGATCCAAAAGCAATGGACGGTTTTATAGTGTGGCATTACGACTCAGACAGAATTTGTAAAGCGAGTTATACAAGTGGGTTGCAGATACGCACAGGGCTGTAATTAAGATAATCGATTAGTTGGTGGATTAATATTTAGATATCCATAAAGAGATTAGTAAATATAGAATTGAGCTCTGGTGATATCTTGCTTGGGAAAACGTCTCCATAGAGATGACTGGTTACACATTGGCTTTAGTAAGTAAGTAAGTCAGTAATGTTTATTTATATTGCACATTTTACAGACCAAGGTCAACCAAAGTGCTTTACAATGTTCAGAATTCAGATTTTGTTCCAATTATTCCACACACAGGGATGACGGAAGCGAGTTGCTGAACACACTGTCGCATCAGCCCCAATCAACACCATCCATTCACTCTCTGATTTATGCATGTTTTTAGTAATAGGGGAAACCGGAGCACACGGAGGAAACTTACGTAGACACGGGGAGAAAATGCAAACTCCACTCAGAAAGGCCCTGTTCCACCCTTTGATTAAAAAAAATTCACAAACACATTTTTCATTCCATTCAGTCATTATAGGATTATCTGAGTCATGATTGACGGGTCTACTGCATCAATTGCATTAGACCCAACCTTCAATGCCACGAGGGTCTGTCAGGAGCAGAGGTCACCGTAGTACTGCGCCTGGGCCCATAAACGCTCTACTGGAGGGTTTTGTCTACTGCACAAACCCGGGCATCTGGGAGAAACTGGAGCACCCGGAGTAAACCCACACAGATATAAGAAGAACATGTAAACTCCACTCAAAAAGGCCATGTTCTGACTGGGATTCAAACCCAAGACCTTCTTATTGAGAAGAGAAAGTACTAACCACTCAGCCACCGTGTGAGGGACTAGTGTTATCACAACGCTAAATTTCAAACTCGATAAAAGGAAAAAGACTCAATACAGGGGTCGGGAGTGGGATAAGTGGAAGCAGGTCTGACTTGTTATATTTTGTATTGTAAAAATAAATCCCAATAAAGAATCCAAACAGAATTTTGTGGAGGCAAAACTCAACTTCTGTACTGATAAAATGACTATTATGATGCAACTTTTCACAATCCTGTCTCTTTGTATATATATATATGTGCATGTGCGCGTGTGCGTGTTTGGCTTGTGGAGGTGGCGTGCCGACACTCTGCCTGGGAGAATGTGGTTCCTCTGAGGAGCTTTTTGAGGCTCGGCTTTGTATCCACAATACATCGCATTCTCCTGCTGTTTCTCCGCAGCCTGTGGACGCCATATGAAAGCCATTTAACATCTCGACTACGCTTAGGAGAGCATTTCCCTGAGCTCATTCTTAATTCACGACCTGGTTTCAAATATAAATCACAGCATTGTGTTTGTTTCTTACCCTTACATCACTCGCAGGTGAAAGTAACACAGGCTTTGCTTCGAGGAAGAGATTTGGAGCAAGTTTAAGAATGACATGTACTTACTGTAATAAGTTATTATTTTAGTATATTCCTTAATGATATGTCAGGAAATACGTATAAATATTATAAATCGAAAGAAACTGAAGACTGCATCATACCCGTGGATAAACAGGTGGAAGAGGGCATAGATCAGGAAGTGTGGAAGTCTGTGAGGATGGATTTTTTATTTTCAGCTTTAGGCGGCAGTTTAAAAAAAAAATGTGGACCAGACAACGATGGAGTGATAGAGTCCTGAAACTTTATAAGAGATAGACTTCTACAATCAATAAATAGAAAACCGAAAACAATGTAAGTAAGAAATGTGATGATTCTGCACCAAGAGAAATACACACACCGTC